TTAAGGTGTCCTGAAAAATTGCTGTAGTTTCAAAAATAAATTTTCAACAAGTTGCAAGCAAAGTGAACACCTGTCTTTTTTTCGCTAGGGCCTTTTCTTTGAAAAATGGAATAGAACGTACTATACTATGATTACAGTAGAACACTAACAATTTTTAATGTCTTCAAACTCAAAGCTAACAATTTTAACTTGAAGCAAACATAATTCATGTTAAAAAGCAAGTGCCTCACAGTTCTTAGACAATTAGATACATTTATAAAAATTTAACTTATTTCACTGAATTAAAAAAAATAGGATTGCTGTTCTGTAAATACATGAAAGTTCTGAACCTTTAATTATAGAATAAAAGGTTTGCTTTGCTTCAATCTAATGATGTTCCTAAATATAAATTTGCTTGGAGGATCTACTTTGTTTGGTACTTCATTCATTAGAATATCTTGAAATTTGTCTCCTCCAATAAACATCTAAAGAACAAGTTTTAATTTAAAAGTTGTAATTTCAATTATGAAGTTACTTACATGAACACGACTATAGGTGTCATTTTCAGGTATTAATCCCCCAGTAGGGGATCTGGTGCAGCTGAACAAATCATTGCAAAAACAATGTGCTGCTGTTACAACCCAGAACTTATTTATTAATGTGCCTCCACATCTTGCTGTTCTTGAAATTTTTATCTGAAAGAAAGGATGTTAGAGTAAATTTTTTAATTTTCTCAGTAAAAATCACATTTTTATTTATCTTATAAGTAAGTTTTAAAATAATTCTTAAACTAATATTTTAATTATTTAGATTTTTTTATTTCCTCTTTTCATGGAGAAATCTTAAAAGGAGTTAAATACATGCCAAAAACTCTAAATCAAAATTAAATTTTCTATGCAGAGATACAAAAATGTATATCTTAACTATATATATACATCTATATACATCTAAAGTGCACAAAACACTTTGTGATTTTTCGGGGACTGGCAGTGTCAACTGTAGTTAGATTTATTAATCCTCTGAACCTTTTAGAAAGACATAAAAATGTGCTCTAGTATATAATTTTAAATTTTATAATTACATTTTGAGTTAATTTTTTTGTTCTTTTAAAGTTTCTCTCCAGATTATCCTGAGTTCTGGGTTTAGAAGTAAGTTGGATTTCAGAAAGCCCAATTAAAAATACCAGTGTAGGGATATAAAATTAACTCTAACCTCAAAACTAATTGATACAAACCAAGCAGTTTTGCCAGCATCACACCCCCCAACTATTCTAAATAAACCAGTTAAATATTTCTCTTATTGAGGCTTGAAAGTATTTAATTCTAATATTTTGCAAAGACATTTTCTTGTGAATTCTATTGAAGAGGGTCAATTAAAATTACATTTACAGTCCCTTAATTTAATTATGTATATTTTCCCTAAATTACGACCTTTCATCTTTTTGTTTTTCTTTTTTTTCTGCAGGAGCAATCACTGATTCCTTACAATCTCTCATCTATAAAAAAGTATTCAAAGGGTAGTTACTTCAAATCTACAAACAAATCATTAAATTCACTTCCTAACACTGGAGGCCTGCATTGGAGCTTGCATTGGAGAATGCAAGCTCTATTAAAACATTAGATTCAATAATTGTTTTGTAAGAACAACTTTATTTTTAGTAAAAGAAAATTAAAGTCATTTTCTCCCATACTTGTATTATTTTATTTAGAAACATAAATTATGTCTGAGCTATGAACTTTTAAAGAAATTCAAAAGTAACAAGAACTTACATAATGTAATTACAGTCAAAATTAAAATTTACTTAAACTTGCTTTCAAGTACTGAAGCATGGAATTTAGGTGAACCCATTCTGTCTGGTTTTACATTAGATTTTTAAAAATAGTTCTACTAGGATTTGGTGTAGAAATTATAATTATTATCTTTTACATTATTCATCATATATAATTTATATTGTGACTGTGTGTTGTGTAATACCTCACTTTAAATTAATCAAATTAATTAGTTAGATTAACCCCATGTTAAATCTGTGTTTGATAACAATCAAAGGCAAGTATTGTAATATTTTTGGTCTCAACATTGTAAGTATGCACATTTTTTTTCTAAGCTTTGGCAATATGCTTTCTTTTTCATAGTTATTTAAAAAAAATAAAGCTTAACAGAGTGGGATGTAATACAAATTTAAAAAAAATTCTTTTCCAACATTTCTCCCCTCCTGCCCCCCTCCCTATAACCCAAAAACTATTATCGCCCTGATAATGATGTTATAAGCAAAGTAAATATCTGAATACTAAAAATGAAATTTTTTTAGCTCTGTTAAACAAAAATAAAAATCTATGTTATGGCACAGATTAAATATGCTACAAAATGTTTTCTTAACTGAGAGAATCTTTACGGCTTTGAGAGGGAATAAACAGTGGATAGTTTTTCTTTCAAACAGAAAAGAACCTCATCTGCTGAAGAATTTGATTGCATACAGACCTACTGCACTTATTGTCAGGATAAAGAATTCAATACATACCTCTTCCTCTGTAACATCTCTCTCCCCACATGGACACCCATAATCAAATATTTCAGAATTCTTCTTTGCTTCAGGTTCGGGTTTGGCATTTATAACTATGATTAAACAATAAAGATTTCCCAAGCATAATAATATGTTTGACTTTTGTTTCATCTTTTATGCATTTTATCACGCTATCTTCTTATAATAATAATATAATTTGACATATTGTAATATGAGAGAAGTCCTAATTATTACTGAAGAGTATCTATTTGAAAACGAAAGATATATATTTTTTTTAAAAATAAATTGAAGCATTTCAAAAATTGTTTGTAAATAATTTTTCTTTAATCTTTTAAAAAACAAAAATTATTTAATATCACTTATTATTTTATTAATGCCTAAAATCCGAACCAAAAAAAATTTGTACCATTTTTTCTAGTTTATTTTTGAATGAAAGTAATTGTTAAGTTTAGACTTTATAGCCTTTGACGATTAGGTTTAGACATCTTTGAGCTTGTTGGATTCAGACACTTTTACGGAATTTTAAAACTTTATCATTTAATGATAATGAATTAAAATACGATTGGTAGTTATTTGAACAGCTGGCACAGAATATTTATATATTTGTTCTTCTTTTAAATATATTATTCAGATTAGTACAAATCATATGAAAATTGAATGAAACAGTTTTAAGAATTACCGCTTTGGGAAATTCGAAGACAAAGTAAAAAATGGCTTTTAAACTTGTGACTTGTTCAGTTTTATTGGAGCTCTTTCCCTTTAAGCTCAATTACAATACCCAAAACTAAACAACCACTGATACAAAGATTAACATAAAATTCTTCCACGATGGAAATTTATTAAATGGGTCCCGAGGAAAAGGACTAGTGGCGGTAATGGAATGTAAGAGTAATAATATACAGTTTATCTATTTTTTCCAACTAAAGACCGTCCCTGGTTTGCATACACACTGTCCAGTCACGTCATCGCAGTCATTATGTACAGAGCCGTACATATCACATTCACATTTAGTACATCCATTCTCTACAAATATACATCATTTTGTACAGATCCGTACATATCACATTCATATTTATAACAACCATTCTCTACAAATATAAAATCATTATGTACAAGATCCGTACATATCACATTCACATTTATACAACCCAAGGTACTGTAATGCAAGGAAAGTTAATTGTGGTCGCGTATACTCTGTGAACATATTGAAACCAGTTCTCTTAGGGCGAAATTTGTAAACAAGAATAGATGCATCAGTGTTCGTCTAGTATCCGAGGAGGTTAAAAGAATTTAATTTTGATAATTTTGAAAATTCACATAATAGTTTTCTATGACTAGAATATTTCATAGATTATTTTTGTTGAAATTGATTCCATGTCAGGCTGTACTGCAGTACTACTGCAGTACAAAATTTGTACACCTATGAAATAACTTTCCTTGCATTAGTACCTTGGTACAACCATTCTCTACAAATATAAAATTATTATTTACATATCACATTCACATTTACTACACCCATTCTCAATAAATATAAATCATTATGTACAGATCTATACGTAAATTTAAATGTAATTTCAAGTGACCCTACATTCCATCTAGTGGCCACGCCCCACCAGTTTACAGTTGACTATCTGAGCTGTGCCAACCTTTGCAGTCCTACTTTAGATTGTACCGCCGATTTACAATTATTAAAGCGGCAGAGGAGTGTTTGTCATGCCGGATTCACCACTGTACCCATTAAAGCTTTTTATTGATTAGGTGTGAATTATAAATCCCGGTTTTTGTTTGTTTTTAAACTGTTTATTTTTATATGAGGGTAATGAGCATTTTTTGCTTTAAAAACAATGGAGAAATAATCAGAACTACATTTTTTTTGGCGGGTCACTTGAAATTAAATTTACTGTCCTTTTACAGGCATAATTGAAAAGCCAAGATGTTTAGCTTTACCTGAAGTAATTCCCCAGTGTTTAGATTCACATGAATCACACTGCTTTCCTTTCACCTAATTTTTAGCTTTTTCTTAGAAAATAGAAAAAATATCGAATTGCATAATCCTGGCATTTTCGAGATATATCAGAAGCCAAACTTAAAAAACAAATTACAATTATTTTTACAAGTCATGATTTGAAATCGTATCTTTTTTATCCAACCGATTTTCATGGGTTTTTTCTTTCTGATTTTTGTCTACGATTTAAAATATGTTTTCTTTAAATGCGGGTAAAAACATTGTGTTCAACTTTATTGTGGTTTGACTCTTAAGATCGCAAAATTAATAATAATGATAATTTAGCCAGCGTGCAGCTTATTGGGTTGAATGAACAACAAAAAAAGATGTTAGCTGTAAAATCATGCTTACAAACATGCATTTTGTAAATATCCATCTATCTCTCTTGTTACTAAATGTATGTATGTAGCAGCATTAGAAGGGGAAAGAAGATTGTAATTTCCCAAATTATAGTCAACTAAACATCATGTTGTATTATGTTCCGAAAGATAATTTTTATCTAAAATAATATTCTTTAAGAAATATCTTTTCCTTGCTTCTGCACTCACATTTTCCAGTCTTCATGTCACAGTTAGGAGATCTAGTTTATAAAATATTAATTGTATAGTCAATATTAATGGGATTGTTAATTTTATTTAAAAATATTAATGAGATTGTTAATTTTATTTACCAATATTAATGGGATTGTTAAATTTATTTAACAATCCCATTAGTTGTTAATTTTATTGACGATATTAATAGAATTGTTAATTTTATTTAACAATATTAATGGGATTGTTAATATTTTATTTAACAATATTAATGAGATTGTTAATTTGATTTACCAATATTAATGGGATTGTTTATTTTATTTAACAATATTAATGGGATTGTTAATTTTATTTACCAATATTAATGGGATTGTTAATTTTATTTTACAATATTAATGGGATTGTCAATTTTATTTTACATTATTATTGGGATTGTTAATTTTATTTAACAATATTAATGGGATTGTTAATTTTATTTACCAATATTAATGGGATTGTTAATTTTATTTAACAATATTAATAGGATTGTTTCTTTATTTCTTTTAATTATAAAACCTGTCAGTAATTCCTTTTTAAAATGTACCCTGTGTCCGAATTTAATGAATCTAAGCCCCGTCTCAAATCCTCCAAAAACCGGTTTCAATTAAGCGCCGCATTAAATCTTGAAAAATTTTATTCAAAATTTTATGTGGAAACAACCAAATTTGAGCCGCGATTCAAATTCTTTAAATGCGGCCTCTGGAGAATTAAGACGTATTTTAGTTTAATCAATTCAAAAATTCAAATCTTGGCTTTGTTCACAATTAAAGAAAACAGAAATTACTGCTAAATATATTTGTTGGTTTAAATTTTGAACCTGCAACCAGAAGAGCTAAATCCATAAAACAGTGGCAAACATTTATCACAAGTAAACCCAGTCACCCCTGGTTTACAGAAACATTTTCCTAAATAAAAACAAATCATAAGTAAACCCAGTAACCCCTGGTTTATTAAAACATTTCCCTAAATAAACATTTATACCAAGTAAATCCAGTCACCCCCTGGCAAAGAGAAAAAATATCGTAAAATTATTTAAATAAATTCATGACAAATCAAAAAACAAATGAAAAATAAAGTTATTAACAAATCTGAAATAACGGAGACAATATTTTTATTCTAAAAAATCAAAGTTTAGAAGTAGTAAATTTAAAAACTCTAAATTTCAACCAAAAAGTAAAAGATGAGTTAAAAATTACCACTAAATTTAACTTGCTAGGTATATAACTGTAGATTCATTGTTTTTAATAAGTTAAGGAAAATAACCTCAGTAAAAACTTTTTAAAATGTCTAAATAAAAATTATATAAAAAATGTCTAAATGAAAACCTGTATCGGCATCACAACCGTCCCCAGTAGCTCCTATATTGTTACATTCACACCTTCTACATCCAGCTCTAAACATTTTATCTTCATTACTGTTATTTTATTATCATTACTGTTATTTTATTTTCATTACTGTTATTTTATTTTTATTACTGTTATTTTATTTTCATTACTGTTATTTTATTTTTATTACTGTGCACTGCATTTAAAAAGATGAATATAAAAGGGACTGTGAACACTGAACAGTGATCCTCCTTTTCATGCAAAGATGACAAAGCACGATTTACAATGGTACCCTAGAACCATTCATCTGATAAAAAATGTGGAAGATACCCTCGTTTTTCTGACTAGAAAAGTATTTATTTCTGTGAGTTTCTCCATTGCTTCTTATAAACAATACGCAAGTCTCTCTCGCAGAGAAACCGCAAATGAAACAAAAACATTGATATCTAATTTCAACTTGATCAGACAAAGCTTTCAAGGGTTTAGATCGGGCATTTCCATATTTGCAAGAATAGTCATTTGAAATTACGCTTACAGTCTCTTTAACTCTGCTTTACGGCTTTGGTGATTATCAAAATTAAAAAACCCATTGTTCCAAAATGAGTGGACACATAAAACTTGATTTTTAAAAATGTTTAGTAAACACAAATTAAAAAAAAAGATTGTTGCAAGGTAACAAATCTTTTTCAATTACTCTACAATGATATTCAGAAAACTGTGGAATAGGAAGACGACATTATATGATTATAGCAATACCTAAGCGTACTAAATATTGTTACAAAGCAAATAGTTTAATTGTAAATTATTGAATCACTTATAAAGTTAAATGGGTCCGTTTAAACTGCACAATTGCTGTGTCTCATGTTTGTTAGACTATTCAAAGTCATAAATTGAGCCTTACACTCGTCTTCCTAATCCAGAGTTTTCTCTTTAACACTCTTTTAACACTGTATGCCCGACTATTTCTTAATCTTTAAATCTTCTATTTTGATAGAGATATAGGGATAAGGATAAGTATAGGCTAGGATAGTTGAAGTGAAAAATACGATATTATAAACAACATTATAACATTTCAAAACAATTTATTTATTTCCATATTTCTACCTAATATTTTCATATTTCTACCTAATATTTCCATATTTCTACCTAAAATTTCCATATTTCTACCTTATATTTCCATATTTCTACCTAATATTTCCATATTTCTACCTAATATTTCCATATTTCTACATAATATTTCCATATTTCTACCTAATATTTCCATATTTCTACTTAATATTTCGATATTTCTACCTTATATTTCCATATTACTACCTAATATTTCCATATTTCTACCTAATATTTCCATATTTCTACCTAATATTTCTATATTTCTAACTAATATTTCCATATTTCTACCAAATATTTCCATATTTCTACCTAATATTTCTATATTTCTACCTAATATTTCCATATTTTTACCAAATATTTCCATATTTCTACCTAATATTTCCATATTCCTACCTTATATTTCCATATTCCTACCTTATGTTTCCAAATCCATCATTGCATTGTCCACATGTTCTTCCAACATACTTATCCTTGCAGGGACATTCTCCTAAACATTAATACATACAGGGTGTCCCAAAAAACATGGAAATTCAGTGACAAATTCGATATCGTCGTTATTATGAATTAGCATTGAAATATCTAATTTCAAAAGCCATAATATTATTATGTCTGCTAGAGTTTATTTAATGAAAACGGTAAATGGCTGTAAAGATGTGTCTATAATGTCTCCGCAAGATGAACAGTGAAGACGGACAAGTTTACACTGTTTTTATACTGCAATTTTCTTGTTTTATTAAATACAACCTTATGCAGTCAAAACATAAACAAACAAAATGTGAACATAGCAGACGAAACTCTTTCATATTACAGCTTTCTCAGTAGGTATCACTAAACTAAATCAAAGAATTATTTGAAAAGACGATATAGAATTCGCCACTGAATTCCCACGTTTATGGGGACACCCTGTGGTATCGGCCGGAACTTTTAAATTGTTAATCCCTCAAGAAAGCATTAATTCATGCCTTTTACAGTCAGGCAATACCTTCTGGCTTTCTCTAAAAAGTCAATAGGAAATTAGCTGTTTTTCAGTAAGCTCAATATATATTACAGGGTTTACCTGATCTAGGATAAAACACAGGACTTCTAGCTCAATATATATTACATGGTTTACCTGATCTAGGATAAAACACAGGACTACTAGCTCAATATATATTACATGGTTTACCTGATCTAGGATAAAACACAGGACTACTAGCTCTATATATATTACATGGTTTACCTGATCTAGGATAAAACACACGACTACTAGCTCAATATATATTACATGGTTTACCTGATCTAGGATAAAACACAGGACTACTAGCTCCATATATATTACATGGTTTACCTGATCTAGGATAAAACACAGGACTACTAGCTCAATATATATTACAGGGTTTACCTGATCTAGGATCACAGACAGAACTACTTGCACCATATATATTACAAGCACAGGGTTTACAAAATCCATCTCCTGGGTTTCCATAGTATCCGGGCACACATACATCACATGACCAACCTCCAGTATTACCCAGGCAGGATAAACATTCACCTTAATATTTATAGTTAGTCAAACTAACTCATGAATGGTTTAAGGCCATTTAAAAAATAATTCGTTAAAATTTAGATAAAGAATCACCCGACATTTAAAACAAAATAAGTTTTTCCTTGAAATACATTATCTACATATATTTGTTTGTTATAGCTAGCCACAGCCCACACGGCTGGCCTAAATTGGTAGAAATGTATAGTTTAATTTAATTTTAATCTTTTTCCGAAAAAATTACGAAGCGAATTTGAAAAGCAAAATTTAAACAGTAAATTTGTAAATTGTATAGATTTGCCTGTGATCTGATCACAAATCCTAGATTTACCTGTGATATGATCACAAATCCTAGATTTACCTCTGATATGATCACAAATCCTAGATTTACCTGTGATATGATCACAAATCCTAGATTTACCTATGATCACAAATCCTAGATTTACCTGTGATATGATCACAAATCCTAGATTTACCTGTGATATGATCACAAATCCTAGATTTACCTCTGATATGATCACAAATCCTAGATTTACCTGTGATATGATCACAAATCCTAGATTTACCTGTAATATGATCACAAATCCTAGATTTACCTGTGATATGATCACAAATCCTAGATTTACCTGTGATATGATCACACATCCTAGATTTACCTGTGATATGATCACAAATCCTATATTTACCTGTGATATGATCACAAATCCTATATTTACCTGTGATATGATCACAAATCCTAGAGGATGATTGATCAGCATTACCATTACATCGGCAGGGTTTACAATAATCACCTAAACAAAACTTATTTAAAAGGACTTTAGACGTATTTTTAAGTGACCCTCCATTTATAGAGTGACAAGTTCGATTCAGAACAGTACCTTTACAAGGTCTGTGCAATTAATTCAGAAAAGATATTCATATTTTTAAGGCTGAAAATTGAATATTTGTATTTGTTGTTTCTCTAAAAAGTTATAAAAGAATTTTTCAATTTTAAGGCTAGAAAAACAATGATATTTTCCACATTTTCTATTGGAAAAGCCAAGGGGCGGCTTATGATATTTTCCAGGGGGTGGGTGGAAATAATTGAATTATTGCGCACTCGCGAACATGTCGATTTCCCCCCCCCCTTGGGAATTTGTACAGGGAATTTGGTCAATTTTTGTTGAAACATGACCAGCCGGGGGGGGGGGGGGGGGGAATAAAGGTGGAGACAGAATTCGGAAAGTGTGTTTGCAAGATTTGGATTTTTTTTAAATCTTCATTTTGAGTGAAAAAATGGCGCCGCAGGGAAAACATTTTTTCAATCAAGATTAAAGGGCTAAGAGGTGCCTGGTCTCTCTTCTCTTAATTGTGAGTGGGGGGGGGGGGCTGAGCCGGACCGTCCCCCTCCCTCCCCTGAATTCGCCTCTGTGCATTGACATTTAAAACCATTGTTAAATGTAAAAAAGTGTGTTTAAATATTGTCGCATTGAAGCTTCCTTTTTTTATATTGGAGACTAACAGAAAATAGAGGTAGGGTCCGTCCTATAAGTATACGATTAATAGAAGTATACATACATACATAGTGAACAACATAAACAAAACAAGGAAGGTTAACTTAATTTATATATAAAAAAAGTTAGAACAAATTTTGATCGTATATTTTAAATTTGAATTTAACATTTTACCAATAGTCAGTGGATTCCCGTAGTAGCCATTAGAGCAACGTTCACAATGAGCCCCTTCGTAGCCTTGGGGACACGCAGTACACTTGTACTCATCAGGGGCAACAGAGTACTTATCATAATCTAGGGTGGCAACCTAATATTATTAATATTAGGATGATATTAAGAATGCTATCAGTAAAAGATTGGAAACCTGAAATTTTACTGAATAAAAAGTTTTCAGAAATAAAATCCTAAAATTTGGCACTAAAAGGTTATGTGAAAAAAAATCCCAGTAATCCAAAACTCAGGACTTTAATTCCAGTGCAGTATTTTTCCTTGGGACTACACAAATCGGGACTTCTTTACCCAAGTTTTATATCAGGGATTTTTGTCTAATATTTTTCACCGTTCGTATGATAGGGAAACATAGAATTTTTCACTAATTGGGTTCTTTATAGAACTTTCTTTTTAAAAATTTCTAATATTCTCTTTTACTTGATTTGAAATTAATACAAGCAATTGTAAAAAATTTTTAAATTTCCCCGAAAAAGTTATGCTCAATTTACACACCGTTTAAACTTTTAATTAAATCGTAATACCCGGGAAAAAAAACCTTAAAAAGAACGGGTTTGAAATTTATAAAGACTACTCAAAATTATACATAAAGGAAGAGATCAAAAATTATTAGTAAAACAAACGATTAATAAAAACAAATGTTACAAAAATTATTTCTGTTTCATAAAGAATACAAAATGAGAAGAATGAATATAACTAGTACCGATTATTTTGAAAATGGCAAATAAAAAATGTTGGGGGAGGAGGGGAGGAAGGCCAACCACAACAATTTCTCGTCCGAACCACATTCTTTTCATTTTCTTGTCCGAGCCATCTCGAAATCCTCGTCCTTTCAATATTATTTTTTCTAATGTCTAATCCTTCCAGATAAAACTATTTTTAAAGAATCGGGCCACCTTAGATAACTGAAATATCACATTTTTGTAAACCGAAAAAAAGTTTCAATTAAATTAAAGATTTCAAGTTTAATGTCTTTAAAAATGTTTGCCTTTTTTACGCGCATTTTCAGATATTCCTGGTGTAAAATGCCGCAAATAATTCCAAGTTTATAGAAGTTCAATCTTTTTTGTTAATTATAAACCATAGAATTTTTTCGGTTGGTTCCATTGGGAAAATTATAGGCAGAGGTATGCCGAATATTTTGCCATCTATTTTATATCACAAAGGTTAGTCATAACGGAGGCAGAAGAGATTTAAGCTTTACCTAAATAAAGTTTGACATCATTTTCATGGGTTTGAAGATTCCAACATGATATAATCTTTGCAATACTTTAGTCCATCCATATTTTATGCCCTAACGTCGCCAGATTTTTAAAAAAATAGTTTTATCTTCAAGAATTGGAAACCTTTTTTTTCGGTTTACAAAAATGTGATATTTCGGTTATCTAACGTGCAGTGGCCCGATTATTTAAAAATAGTTTTATCTGGAAGGATTAGACACTTAAAAAATATAATATTGAAAGGCCGAGGATTTCGAGGTGGCTCGGACGAGAAAATGAGGAGAATGTGGCTCGGACGAGAAATTATTGTAGCTGGCCTTTCTCCCCTCGGGGGAGTAAAGATTCCGTCCGGTAAGATTAAATGATGGGAATATTGCAACTCTAATAAAATAATTTTGTACACCATTAGTATTAATCTTTACTGAACATTTAAAGAAAAAATGTATCTTTTTTCTTTCTTTTTAAAACTAAAACATTTACCTGACAGACAGGGCTGAAATTGTTAGATGGTATTTCAAGAGGACATTTACAGGGCTTACAGTCGTTAGGCCGGCCTAGCTTAGCGTTTCCGTAAAAACCTTGAAATTAATTTTGTTTGAATTTTACACTATAAGAAATGTTAACTGACGAGTATCATCAACGATTCACAACATAAAGCTGAACATTTTGTGGATTTTTCCGTTTTCAATTTTTAATAATATCATTTTTCTTTATTGAGAACCAGGGAACTATGGAATAGGAAGACAACATTAAAGCAATACATGAGTGAATTTGATGTTGGTCCAAAGGAAGCAGTTTTATTAGTGACTTATACAATTACGTGAAATGAATTTGTTTAAACTGCACACTTGATGTGTCTGATGTTTATTGGAATATTTTAAGTCGTAACTTGAGTCTAAAAGTTGTCTTCCTGTTCCGGAGTTTTCCGGTTCTCACGCTGGCATTTTTATTTAGATTTTGACTCTCATTGGGGTCATGTGAGATGGCACTGAAAAAGTGCGTATACAAAAATAGATCTATGGGGTGGGGAGGGCAATAATGTATATATATATATACATATATATACTGAAGTTAAAAAGATATTTTTGAAAATGAAATTCTGTGAACTCATTCAACTCAGTGTAATCTGTGAATTTAAAAGAGAAAATAAGGTTACAGCACTGCAATAATACATTTTAATTACAGAATTAACAGCATTAATGGCACAAAGCACAACAAACATTTCTTTTACCAATTAATGCAATCGTTGACGGCACAGCCGTTAACGTTTTATTACAGTATTAAGGGCATTAAAGGCGCAAAGCAGCGAAAAAATTCGGTAAGGGTTTTACAAGTTTCATATGCAATTTTAAGCAGAAAAAAACAAAATTCACCGATTTAAGAAAAAATTTTGTTTCTTTTCTTTTTTAACCATTCATTTTTTTTAACGGCTAATCCATTTTGTTAACGTTTTAAAAACCGTTAATTTTCTGAGTTCTAGGGGAAGGCACTGCCCCCCTTGCCTGCCCCTGTTTCCACCCTTGGCACTGAAAAGTTTGGTCCGATCGGTTCATCCATTTTAACGTATATTTCATTGAAACAAATAAGCAACCAGATAAAAAAACAAACAAGCCAAATTCAGAAGTATATATAAGATGTATCAAAAAAATCTGATTTTTCCTTTAGCACAGTCTTGACATTTGTCACCCACAGTATTATGTTCACAAGTTGCGCATTCTAGCGTGAATGGATCACAGGTTGAAGAATGACCGTAACAGTTGCACTTCCTGCACTCGCCTATACACAGCAGCTATTAATTCACAACAGACATTTGTGTCACTTTTGGCATTTGAACATACAATTATTAAACTTATTTGCCCTGGAATAAATTTTGTATTAATAAGTAATCCGTTTTGCACAAAACTGCGCATTCATTCGAAAAAAATAGGTTTATGGCATCAATGCGCAATTCTATCAAAATTTCGTGCAATTTTTACTCGAAACATAAAAAAATCTTAGTGCAATTATTGCACGATTTTCCTGCAAAAATTTCAATTGAAACCCTACTCCTAAGTAATAAACAGAAAAATCCGTAAAAGCCAGAAGTACCATGTGTATTGTGTAAAGATAAAAAATTTAGATAAGATAAATAGTATTGTTAACCCTAGTATACCCGTATACCAAGGTGTACTATATAGTCTACCTTAATAAAAAGTAGTGTTAACCCTAGTATACCAGTATACCAAGGTGTACTATATAGTCTACCGTAATAAATAGTAGTGTTAACCCTAGTATACCCATATACCAAGGTGTATTATATAGTTTACCTTTATAAATAGTATTGTTATTTAACAGAAAAATCCGTAAAAGCCAGAAGTACCATGTGTATTGTGTAAAGATAAAAAATTTAGATAAGATAAATAGTATTGTTAACCCTAGTATACCCGTATACCAAGGTGTACTGTATAGTCTACCTTAATAAATAGTAGTGTTAACCCTAGTATACCAGTCGTAATAAATAGTAGTGTTAACCCTAGTATACCCATATACCAAGGTGTATTATATAGTTTACCTTTATAAATAGTATTGTTAACCCTAGTATACCCGTAGCTACATTCTTGACATGATAACCCTTCATATCCCTGGGGGCAACTGCAACGTTCTACAGCCTGTAAAAAAATAAAAAGTATTTTGTTATTCTCTAAAGTGACACCCCGACCATATGTTACTTTTCATCAAGTATATCTATCTCCCTACACAGTTTGGTTCCTACTGGGCAGATCATAGCACTCAATCTTCTCTCTCATAATGGACTGATCAGTAATGATGAAAGAATTTATTTCTGAGTTTAATCTGAAATCAAAAGATTCCATTACAACACAGCCTAGAGCAATAAAATATTCATGTATTTATATTTTGTACAATTTTTAAGGTAAGTCCCATCTTTCATGAAATCCAAGAATAATCCGATGTGATAAGGGACACTCTGTAAAACATAATTATATAAGGCAAACCCGGGGCAGAAAAAGTAATATACCTCAATGTAACCTAGTAGAATGCCTAACTATCAATATATACCGAATAACTATCTTGTTAAAAACGTTTTATTAGATAAAACATATGCTTGTTAATTTTAACGCGCATTTTATGCAGCAACACTGAACAAAAATATTACTAAAAACTATGAATATGTAATTCGATATGCCACTAGGTTTAGACTGATTTTAAACTGTACTCTGCCCGTGGTTTCTCCCTGTTCATTATAAATAACCTGTTCTTGATCTGAGCTCATTGAGTACAGAAACACTGTGAACACAGCCCAGTCCAGGGGCCGCACAGACTCCAAAAAGGGATCTTCAGGGGCAGCAATCAAAACAAGTCGAGCCCGTTTGGTCGCAAAACATTCGCCAGTCCAAAGAAAAGAAAAAAGAAAAAATGATTGATTGATTGCGCTGAACTGCACCCGAAACTTATATCTAAACTTGATTGATTGACAGTAGGTTATGCACCTCATGGCTAGAATTAACTTTATCAATCATACCACAAGTAACTCAGCTGTGAGATCCACCAACTGCACCCCATGACCAGAACTCCAGCCTCTGATTGATTGATTGCTGAATCTGCACCCCAAAACTGGAACTCCATCAATGAACACCCACAACTTCAAGGCATATTAATTGAGCTCTATGATTAACCAAGCACAGACTTAACCAACATTGGCATTGGTAACCAACATACTCTCAATTAGGGTTAAAAAAACTGCATAAAATCATGAAAAATATATATTTCTAAAAAATAGAGTGTATATCACCCCATTCAGCGCTTAAAATCTGGACCCCAGCATCTATTAATCCATAGAATACACATATCTGGTCAATGTTTATTATCTGGATCTTAACTCTTAATCCAAGAGTTCACACTAATGTTTATACTTGAATTTCCTCTACCTCCAGAGGGATCTCAAAATGATCTCTAAAGCAGTTTCATTATATGAATCCCCCCTGGCAATAGGCAAATTAGGATATTGGATATCCTAGAGAATAAAATATCCCACTGCATGCATATCAAAGGAATAGTAGTATTAACTTGTAATTTATCCAGGGTCTCTCTCAACACCAGATCCTTTGTTCAACCCCTCCTCACTCAGAGTGAGCTTTGGCATTTGACACAACTATCTTGATACCTAAACTATATTGGATCAGAACTTCTAAATCCCTAATAGAGAATGTTGCATACAGTAAAGATTTTAGCTGAGTACCATTGTCCATGTAAATGAATCCAGGTACTCCATATCTATTAGAATGTCTCTCTAGTGCTGCACATACATTCTGAGTCTCTATTCCTTCCAATGCCATAATGTTCGTAGCTGCGGACAGTCAACATATCACAACAAGTCCATAAATTTTAATTACAGTCTTGAATCTTTTTAATGATTGGCCATTAAACCCATAGCAGATATCCATCATACATGAATGGAAACACAGAGCAAGAACTGTTCTAGCCTCAGGATGATTTGACATTCTGAGCTCAAGTGTTTTCTTTTCCATCAACTGACATTGAAGACAATCTGAGATTATCAGATGCTAAGATGATGGCTGACGCTAAGATGATGGCTGATGCCAAGGTGATGGGAGATCGAAAGGATCTATCATTACCAATAAGTTTCTCGGGACTACAATACATTCATACCCTATGAAGATGATGTGCTGGAGTGTAATGGAATTGTGCTTGAGCAGTTCAAATCCTCACTAGATGACCATGAGAATTTGTTGGACTTAAAGGATTAGTTGAAAACTCTCTGTAATGTTCACAAAGCTTTCAGGTCTATTGAAAAGTTTAGAAACCAAATAGATGATGAGGATAAGGTGGAGTCTAAGCAGTTTGAATCTACAGCAGTTGAACACAAGAATTTGTTGAATACAATGGATGAGTCAAAAACTCTCTTTAGTATTCACAAAGCTCACATTCTTATTACAAAGTTTAAAAAAGCAGTTGATGATGAGGTTAAGGGCCTTGATGATATTGATAGTGCAATGGATGATTTCTCAGCCCTGGTGGCCAAGGCAGACAGGGTGTAGCAGAGTTGCTAGTAGATCCTATATTCCAAGGTTGGATAACAGGCTATATGCAAAGATGGAGGACTAAATCTAGCTTCAGGAAGCATTTGACTTCTGATGAACACTGTTTTGTAATAGGAGAAAATAATTTGGACTCCAACAAGAATGGTATTCCTAAGAAGACTGGTAAGATTGATGATCCTAAAAATAATGATGTTTGTAAAGAAGAATGAAGATTTTAAGAATAACAATGATCCTAGTAAGACTGATGATTTTAAGACTAAGAATAAGGGAGATCCTTAGAATGACAGTGATCCTGACATGAGTTGTGATCCTGACATGAGTTGTGATCCTGACATGAGTTGTGATTCCAAGTTGATGAGCGATCATGAGTCAATAAGCAATCCCTGTTCGCTTCTGAAATCCTTTAAAACTGATGAGATCTAATGGTCTGGGGTATAGTCCTGGTCTGATGTGATCCTTTGGTTCAAGATCTCCTGGTTTGAAGAGATCTCCTGGTCTTGTGAGATATCCTGGCCTAATGAGATCTTCTGGTTTGAAGAGATTGCCTGGTGTGAAGAGATATCCTGGTCTTGTGAGATATCCTGGTCTGATGTGATCTTTTTGTTTGAGATATCATGGTTTGATGAGATTTTCTGATTTGATGAGATTTTCTGGGTTGATGATATCTCCTGGTTTTAAGAGATCGCTTGGTCTGTTCTAAGATTTGTAGTCAAGAGTGGAGAAAAACCCTCAGAGAAAGCTAGTACTAATGGAGGTATTATGAAACTATGGGACTCAGAGCAGCAGGATGAATTATCTTTGGGACTGGGTGGATCGAGCCAAAACATGAAATAAAGAGGGGAAAAGAAACCTAACTCTAAACTTGTAAACTTGTAGATGCTGAGAAATTATTAACCAGTGTGCAAGTGACCTTGAGTATAATAATTGGAAATATATCTGAGTTCTTTGATCTGTGTGGTTTGATCAAAACATCAAGCTCCCACTAGTTGTATACAACCGTACAATGACAATACTATGGCTGAATGGACAACAGGAACTAAAGAAAACCCATTAGTACCAAGGAACATGATATCCGAGTTGACATGTTAAATGAGGATCTGATTGGATTCAAGGAATAGATTGGATGAGAAAAGATCAGAAATGCCTGTAACAACCTTAGGGTTGAAAAACCAGTTGAGAATGATATTAAGGTTGAATGCTTCCCTGAATCTTTTTTGGACAAGTTTATCTCGGAGAAACATAGATCTGTGGAAACACTTAGAAGAAGAGTGATGATAAGGAGTGATGAGGAGTGTGAGTATATTGTGATCCTCAGTGAAGGGTTTCCAGTATTCTGATATTTAGTAACTATGTTTATCTATTCATAATTGAGAGAGTGTTGGTTACCAACGCCAGTGTTGGTTTAAGTCTGAGCTTGGTTGATCATACAGCTCAATCAAAAATGTGTTCAGAAGCTGTGTTTGTTCTGATGTTGAGTTCCAGCTGTGGGTTGCAGAATCTACAGCAATTTATTTAGTTTGGATACAGGTCGGGGGGTGCAGTCTCTACAATCAACCAGTCAAGTTTGGATCCAGACTGCGGGGTGCAGACTCTACAATCAACCAGTCAAATTTAGATCCAGGTTGCTGGGTGCAGTTTCAATGACAATCATTTAATCAATTTTCTTTTTCTTTTTTCTTTTCTCTGGGCTGGCGAATGTTTAGCGACCAATTGGTCATGATCTGTTTGAGAGTAGTCCCTAAAGTTACCCTGTGCAGCCCCTGCATTAGGCAATGTTCACTGTGTTCCTGTATCCATTGAACTTTGATCAAGAACCGGTAATATACAGGGAATATTCACACAGGGGCTGAGTACAATTTAAAACTCCGCCTAAACCAAGTAAGGTATCAAGTCATATATATAGTTTTTAATGTTATTTTATCAGGCATTGTAGCGTAAATGCGTAACATTAATGAGCACATTCTTTTAAAATATGAAAACGTTTTGTGACAGCGATAGATATTTGGCGATCTAGTTAGTTACAGCGAGGTAAAAATTACTTTGTCTGCCCTGGGTTTGCCTTATATTATTTATGCTATTTATTCTTTGATTTTATTAGAGACTTCATTTATCTTCAGATTGTACATAAATGTAAATACATTTTTATTGTTCATTATTGTATTGTAATGGAATATTTTCCTATTCTAGATTGAATTCTACAATAAATCTTTCTACATTATTAGACTGTCCATTATGAGAGCTAGAGAGAAGATCAAGAGTTCCGATCTGCCCACTAGAAAGGAGATAGATATCCTTATTGATCGGGGTGATCCCGAAACGGATATCTAATTCTTACTAAATCAGACAAAGCTTTTAAGGGTACCATTGTTAATCGGGAATTGTAATCTTTGCATAGAGGGTTTCTTTGAAATTACGCTTACTGTCCCTTTCAGTATTATTAATTGGTTATTTGCGGTCCATTTAAGTAAGCTTTAGAATACAAAAATTTCTTACTTTAGTTCTTGTTAGGCTTAAGGAAGCTTGTGCTCCAAACTGCATTGCTGCAGTGTGCAAGGTACCTAGAAGAAGAAAAAACACAATTTTCATCTTTTCGTTTTTTTAATGTTATGGGTTTGGGTATGGGTTTATTTTGATACTTGATATTGTATCGACTAGAAGGGGCAAAAAGGGAATAGAAAATGACTGAAAAAAAACTGGAAGGGGACTAGAAAGGGACTGGAAAGGGAATGAAAAGGGACTTTAGAGGGAGTAGAAAAGGACTGGAAAAGAACTAGAAAAAAAACTGGATGGGACTGGAAATAGACTGTAACGGAATTGGAAAAGAACTGGAAAGGGACTGGAAAGGGACTGAAAAGGGACTGAAAAGGGACACTGAAAAGGGACTGGAAAGAGACTAGAAAAGGACTGTAAGGACCGAAAAAGGAATTGAAATGGGACTAGGAAGGAACTGATAAGGGACTGAAAAGGGGCTGGAAAGGTAATAGAAAGGGACTGGAAAGAGACTGAAAAGGGGACTGAATAGGGACTGGAAAGGGACTGGAAAGGGACTGAAAAGGGGCTGGAAAGGTAATAGAAAGGGACTGGAAAAAAACTGAAAAGGGACTGAATAGGGACTGAAAAGGGACTGGAAAGGAACTGGAAAGGGACTGGAAAGAGCGCTGGAAAGGGAATAGAAAGGGACTGGAAAGGGCTGGAAAGGAACTGAAAAGGGACTGGAAAGAGCGCTGGAAAGGGAATAGAAAGGGACTGGAAAGGAACTGAAAAGGGACTGGAAAGGAAGTGAAAAGGAACTGGAAAGTAACTGGAAAGGACATGAAATGGGGCTGGAAAGAAACTAAAAAGGGTCTGAAAAGTAACTGGGCCGGGAAGAACTGAAATGGGACTGGAAAGAAACTGAAAAGGGGATGGAAAGGTACTAAAAATGGACTGAAAAGGAATTTAAATGGGGCTAGAAAGGAACTAGAAAGGGATGAGAAAATGAGTGAAAAATGAATGAAAAGGGACTGGAAAGGGGCTTGAAAATGTTACCTTCTAACTGATCTGAGTGATATTTAGCCCTGATTAGAAGGTGTTCTAGGTCCCCTAGGCATCTCATGAATTCATGTTTAGATACTGGACCACCATCTAGAATAGTATAATAGGAGAATTTAAGTTTAGATACTGGACCACCATCTAGAATAGTACAATAGGAGAATTCAAGTTTAGATACTGGACCACCATCTAGAATAGTACAATAGGAGAATTTATGTTTAGATACTGGACCACCATCTAGAATAGTACAAAAGGAGAATTCATGTTTAGATACTGGATCACCATCTAGAATAGTACAATAGGAGAATTCAAGTTTAGATACTGGACCACCATCTAGAATAGTTCAATAGGAGAATTCAAGTTTAGATACTGGACCACCATCTAGACTAGTACAATAGGAGAATTCAATTTTAGATACTGGACCACCATCTAGAATAGTACAAAAGGAGAATTTAAGTTTAGATTACGAAAATATTTTCAAAAGTTTGGTTTGGATACGGTGGTAGGGGATTCTATTAATATATTGAAGACGACTTTTTCATTTTATTTTTATTCCTTACAAACTTTTTCCGTATCACATGTGTTACAAGTAATTAAAGATAAGCTTTTTTAATTAGCAGCTTCTCTTTGTTTCCATGTTTGTTTAGTATCCATGCTTCCATGCTGTTTGAAAGGTTGATATAAATACAAATTTAAATCTAAAGTCGTCTTCAATATATTGATATAAGCGCCTACCACCGTAATTTATTATGAGTGAGCTGACCTGGGAAGAAGTACCAATCATGTTCTAGAAAAACCAGTTTAATTGTCGCGTTCTTACTCCCCCTGTAGTTGGATCTACCATATCCCATCCGGAATCCAGCTCCCTCAAGGATAACATCAGGTTCACTAAATATAATAATAGTTACAATCCGGAATCCAGCTCCCTCAAGGATAACATCAGGTTCACTAAATATAATAACAGTTACAATCCGGAATCCAGCTCCCTCAAGGATAACATCAGGTTCGCTAAATAAAATAACAGTTACATAACGATAAACTTAATCATACAGTGAATAAAGAGGTTGCCTTTTAATTTTAAGTGCCCCTCCCTTTAGAGAGGGGCATGCATAATACCCTTAATACCCTAGTCTGATCAATATTATGGAAGGTATCTTCGTTTTTTTGCTTTAAGTGTTAATTTTTTTCCATCAAGAAATGTGCAACCGTCACAATTTTAGGGAAAACACAAATTAAAATAATCAGAGTTGAAAACTGAAATATGAGATATCCTTAATCCCGATTACTTAAACTGAATATCCAATGGACACACTTTTGATGTTCTTCTTAATCCTCTCTTTTTGGATATTTCTACTGTATAAAAGTTACTTTTGATAACGATTTCAGATACGATGCTATATCGATTGGACTTATATCCTATTGAAATAAAGTCAGCTTTTTACAAGCTGGCTTTTAGAGCATTTAAACAAATATAAATTTAATCATGTTAATATGAACTTATTACAAAACATATTTTAGGACTATTGTCATTGTCTAAATAAACATTAATTCAACACTTACGTTCGTTCAAACGATGCTAAGTTAAATTGATATGACACCACCTACACGCTGAATTTTTAACTTCTTTCTTTGATATCGAATGCAATTTAAAATAATCTTGGGTTTAGTAAAACTCTGAGTCTAAAACTAAAGAACGAAAAGTTTTGACTTAAATTTTAAGTTCATGGTTTTGATTAAATAATTGATTCTTTGAATAAATAATTGATTGCATTTTTAATTGATTGATTAATAAATGATTTACTTTGTTGGGGTGCCTGATGTGTCCCCTCTGCCAGTATGCCATGAAGTGTGAACTGTCAGCTTTTGTCCATAGGAGAGCAGTTTATTCCCTGAATATACATATTTACTACTTAAACCCTAAATAAGCCATACATCGAAAGAATTCATCAAATGTCGTATTTTTCACTTCCTGCAGATATTTAGTCTTTTTTAATTAAATGATTATATGGAGCTGTCTAAAACTGTTCCCGCATATTCATGACTATTTTTATACTTTCGAAAATATTAAGATTTACGTAAAACCTATTAAAAAATTGTCAAGACGACATTTGATAAATTCTTTCGGTGCAGGGTTTAACTGTAACTGATTCCTAAATGAACTGTCGGTTGTAATTTCTAGGAACCCTCTATATAGAATTAATTAATAACAATTCATAGCAAGACCTTAAAAGCTCTCTCTGATTAAGAATACATGAGATATCCATTTTTTTCTCTTTAAACAATTGATTATTGCCAATTGAGTTTTTTTATAAAATGACTTGCCGATTTCTGCAATCCAAGAACAATGTATGAAATTTAGGGATTAGGGTTCCGTTCAACAACAAAAAATTCATTTTAAACTTGAGTAGTGGCATACAATAAACTGAACTTCACTAACATTTCTGTCTCAAATGCTCGGAAAATTGAATTTTGACTCAATCTTTTATTTTATAATATTTATATACTGCATGGTTACCAGACTCTGGCATAGGAAGACGACATTTTAGACCTAAGTAGACCCATTTAACTGAATAAGTGATTTAATAAGTTACTAATTAAAATTTGTTGCTTTGTAACGACATCAAAAACACTGAAATGTTGAAACAATTGTGACCCTCGGGCCTCGATTACTTTAAAATCTACAGAGATATTTCCATTCCTGGATCTGCTGCATAAATTTGTAAATCACAGTTAAAAATTTTGATTTGTATATCGAAATAAGCAATTCCGTTGCCCGTAACTCCACGCAATTCTGCGCAATTCAGCGAGTATTTAATTGCTTTCTTGTTCGCAAATAAAGCGCGATTCCGCGCAATAAAATGGTGCAAGAGGGAGCAATCATTGCATGCAATTCCACGCAACGCAATTCCAATTGAAATTACAACATAATAAAAATAATAATAATACTAATAATAATAATAATAATAATGATACTAATAATAATAATAATAATAATAATAATAATAATAATAATAATACTAATGATAATTGATAAAAATAACCTTGACTCATCATAACTATATTCTGAATCATTGTAATAGTCCGCCTGATAATTCTGTTAAGCAACAAATTAATCCAAAATTTCAAGTTTTGTCTAAAAAGTGCTTTTCTTCTTTAAAAAAAACATCTCTTTATATCAAGTATTGTCATTTTGTAAAGTGAAACTTTAGAAGAGTTATACAATTTGTTAAAAAAATATTTTCTAGTTGGATAATTCCTTTCCTCCATATCATCCTGGTACTCAGTCAGCTGTTCAGGATAGCAGAACATACCTAGAACATTTTATAGTTCAATAAACTGCCACCATGGGTAACTGGCAGTGAGAAATGCTGAAACAAGATGGCGTTGTTTTGTTCATAATTTTGTTAAAAAGTATATGGGTCATTGGACATAAATAAAACTTTCATAATGTTTTAAGAGATGTAAGTTTCCTTAAATATATTTGTATGATTTTTGGACATTTAAGCTTAGATAACAATTGTTGCGACATGGAAAATAAAGATTTTTTCAAGATTACTCTTAGAAACAATGTTGTTCTCTTGAAAAAAAACAGTTCTCTTGTTTTTTTTTTATTTCAAGCTTTTATATTTTGTTGTTTGCTTTCTTCTATTTTCAATTTCCATTCATTTCATTCCTTTATACTTTTTTCTTTCAAAATCATTGCCTTTTTTTCCTCACTATTCTACAGGGTGTCCCAAAAAACATGGGAATTCAGTGACGAATTCGATTTCGTCTTTATTATGAATTAGCATTGTAATACCTAATTTCAAAAGCCATAATATTATCATGTCTGCTGGAGTTTATTTTTTGAAAAGTGTAAGAGACAGTAAAGATGTGTCTATAATGTCTCCGCAAGATGAACAGTGAAGACTGACAAGTTTAATCTGTTTGTATACTGCAATTTTCTTGTTTTACTAAGTACACCCCTATGCAGTCAAAACATAAACAAACAAAATGTAAATATAGCAGATGAAACTCTTACAGATTACAGCTTTCTAAGTAGGCATCACTATACTAAATCAAAGAATTATTTAAAAAGACGATATCGAATTCGTAATTGAATTCCCATTATTCTTGTGCATTCACATTCCTTTACAAAACCCTTTTCATTGAATTCTGCTAATAAAATAAATTTCTTTAACCAGGTCCATGTTAAAACCAGGTCTTTACAAAGGAATTTCATTTACTTTCAGAAAATTCAAAACAATGAAAATTTAAATCACCAATTCAATGATAAACCTCTTGAACTGAAATGAAAGTAAATGATGCATATTTTCTAGATATTTTATTTAAATTCATTACAGTTAACCAAATGACCTTAACATACTTAAATTATAGTTTAACCAGTGAAAAGCTTTGTATGCTATTTATTTACTTAGCACTTGTCAGTATTTTTGTAAGAAAGGATTCAAATTGCAATTCTTCTCATCAAAACCTGGAATGCGCCAATTCCAACTATGAAAATCCGCCAAATACAACATTAAACCGGTTTAATGAACTAAACTCTGTTAAAAATTAGATGCAACTTAAATCCGAAAGCCCGAGCCGTAAATAAGGCTCAACGACAGCTTAGACCCGAGTCGTATTTTATTGAATTTTTTGAATCGCCGGCTCAGAGCCCGCGATTTAACAAATTAGGGAAAATACGGCTCGGATCTAAGCTGTCGTTGGGCCTTATTTACAGCTTGAGCTTTCGGTTTAATATTCTATTTGGCGGATTTCCATGATAGGAATTGACGCATTCCGGGTTTTTATGAGAATAATACTCAACATTGAGCCTTATTCTCCACGAATACCAACCAGGGTCGGTTTTATTTTTATTGGGCCTAACTCCTTAAGTCGAGCCGAAGATCTTGCAGCTGTCAATCACGTGACACAAGCTATCATCAGAGTTGGGTTAAAGATTGGGTCTTAAAGTCAGGTTTAAGTAATTACGGCTCGATCTATTGTTTCAGCCAACCATGTTATAAAAATGCAACTATTTGGTATGCTGATTTGATGAAAAGTACATATAGGATTATGATTATTTGATATGAAATAATGTATTTTAAATGTCACCAGTGTTCGTCATTTTCTACATTTATTTTCTACATTTTATTTAAGTTCCAAAAAATTTGAAGGTGTTTTCGTGGAATTGTAAGTGTTGGGACTCAATTACAGGAAACCCAAACTATTAAAGTTATCGGTCTAATTTTTTTTTCGTTGAGCTGGCCATGCCAAATTGGGCTATGCACATGCATTTTAACCCTATACCTATTCTCTATTTTTTTTTCTATGGGGGGGGGGCGCCAAACGCCCCCCCTGGCTATATATAGAATCAGACCCCAGCCTTTATAGGGTTAAGTTTCCCCAGTGGATTCAGCAGATGAATTATACGATACAAAAATGCTTAGCTTTAATGTTTAAAGGGAGTGTTCACGAAAAATGAAAGGGGGTATAGGCTTAATGCGATAAAAAAGCGCTTTTGATCGCTAGTAATCTTACTTCTATCTGTTGCGTCTATAAGGAGAAAATTGATAAAGACGTCTCATACCGAAGAGCGTAGCGCCCATACAAATTGAGGAAGTTGGAACATACGACTTAGACCGTAAAAAAATCAAATTAATAGCAAGCAAATCATTCAGATATTACAACCTATAGTCATCGATTATCTTTCGCCACATTTGTATATATTTAATATTTCATACTAGTTTTGATTTTGTTTTTTTAAATAATATTTAGCGCACAACTTGTTTTCGAACATTTCTGGAAAATATGAAAATGTCGTCTTCATTACCAAAAATCCTCGAAACAGGAATAAACGTTTTTATAAGTAACTCTCAGATCATAACAATTAAAACATATTATGAAAAATCAACTATATATAAATGTGGCGAAAGATAATCGATGACTATAGGTTGTAATATCTGAATGATTTGTTTGAAATTAAATTGATTTTTTTACGGTCTAAGTCGTATGTTGAAATTTTCTCAATTTGTATGGACGCCATGTTATTCGGTATGAGACATCTTTAACAATTTTCTCCTTATAGACGCAACAGATAGAAGTAAGATTAGTGGGGATCAAAAGCGCTTTTTTATCTCATTTAGCCTATACCCCCTTTCATTTTTCGCGAACACTCCCTTTAAGACCTTTGATATTTCATTCTGCTTCAGCAAGAAATTAAAGTTTAAAATAAAGAAGATTGAGATTGATTCAATTGTTTAGTTCCTTTCTTTAGCGATTCAGAACAGAAACAACCAAGCCTTATCTGATAACAAGTGACATAACACTTTTCAGTATTAGCTCAGTTGCTTTTAGAAGAAAAAACATACACAATACATTTACTTACTGATGCTTTTACAGAAGCTGTGAGTTTCATAATTGAAAAATCCTTTAGGTGGAAAATAACTTCATCATTGGCACAATTACAATTAATAGGTTTCAATGAAACAGTTGTAATTCCTTGATGGCACTCTTTAAATTCCATCTTATTAACGACCAAAGTTTTGAAAGAAAAAATGGAATAATAGTTGATGCTCCCGTTTCAAGAATATATGGAGTTGATGTGAGATTGGCATTGTTCAATATATAACTGGGGTCATTCATGTGCTTTATAGTATTCAGAGAAAAGACGTTTCTCCAATAATCTTATTATACAGATCAAGCAAGACAGCCGAATATAGATACAGATCAAACAAAAATAACAGAATACAGATACAGATCAAGCAAGACAGCCGGATACAGACACAGATCAAGCAAGACAGCCGAATACAGATACAGATCAAGCAAAAACAACAGAATACAGATACAGATCAAGCAAGACAGCCGAATACAGATACAGATCAAACAAAAACAGCAGAATACAGATACAGATCAAG